GAGTATTGGAAGTATGAGCGAGAGTACGAGGCAGGACAAAAGCAAATCCGTAAATTATTTAATATACCTAGTATAGTGTGGCACAATATTTTATTATTAATATTATCATATGCTTTAATCGTAAAATGTAACTAGGTGACAGTAATATACGTAAACAGACAAGACACAACGACAACAAAAAGCATTTGTTCCATGTTCCACTTAGTTTTAGCCTGATTGGATAAATGTAGAAGGCTAATTAATGATTATAATAAGATTTTTACTAGTATGATCATTATCGTTATAATGATATCCACATTGTAGAGTTTTATTATCTATAAATCTGTAAATAATTTATGTGTAATTGCATAATTTTGACTATTAAAACAATAATAATTATGGTTATAACATACTGGTACTTATATAGATAATTATTAAAGAACTGTAAATTTATTTTTAAGTATCGGTTTATTTATTAACAATTACTAAAAACTATATAATGATTATCTGATTCCATATGACTTTTTAAAATACTTAAAATAATTATAATATTGAATATTGAATTAATTTTTAGATATAAATATAAATTACATAATATATAAACATGTTGTGTATTATTAATAGTGTAGAAATATGAGTGCAGTGCAGTATATTAAAATTATTTAATTAACATAATTAGTAACAGATTTTATTAATGTTATCTGATTTTCATACAAGCAACTGTACCATTGTATGTTTATACCAGGTTTATATTAAGTTTCAATCTATTATGACTATGCCACATTTTATAACTGGATGGTACGAGTTTTGACGTCATTTAAGCAATATACTTTTTTTGCCTAAAATTTCAGCAATATACCTTTTCGCCAAATCGTCGATTGGCTGTTGAAACCAATTACATGTCTATCCCGGGAAAGCGGTCCCAGATTTTGTGTCAAACTATTAATGAGTTCCCAATGCTTGCGGACATTCATCTAATTGGTGGCGAACTCTGGATACCATATGATAGGCAAAAGTGTGTGGAAATTGTCCGCAAATTTATCACTGATTTGTGGGAATGGTATGACAGGGAGACACCAAATGTGATCACAACATGTGTCTGGAGTGGTATTGAAGCCGAGGAGTTGTCTGTCGGACACGAAATGCCCGCAAATATACGAATCAATCGCTGTTTAAGACAATAAGAAAACTTATAAAAAGTGTTGAGATTTAGTTGTTTTAGACAATTAATTCATTTAACGCCACTTAACCTAACTATTAGTTTCATAAAACATAAGTTTTTATCAAAAATATTCAAAAACTATTGAATATTAAAAGACTTTCCGTTTATATATTAAATTGCATTTTATTAACAAAAATTTCATTCATTAAACATTTGATTAAAAAAAATAATTCATTAATTAAAAGTGTATCGAAAAAAAAGTCCACAAAAAAACTTTTCACAAAACAAAATAATAATTTAATTAATAAATTAGACATTATTTGCCCACAAATCGGAGCACTGGGAGAGGGATCGGTAGATAATTTCGGGACAAAACCTTATAATAAACATGAAAATCATAATTAAATACAAAAAAATACAATCAATTCATAAAAACCACAAAAAACTACCCAAACATCGGGTCAATGGCTAACAAACTGGAGGTTCGTGTCGTCAAAGGCGGGGAACGGCTGTTGCTGTCCGTCGAGACTCTGTTGGGAAGCACTGGTAGGTATGGGCGGAGCGCTGCCGCTGAATATATCCCTATCCGTATAATAACCTAACTGTCCGTACAGTTCCCTCAGCACCAGTAAGGCCGTGTCCTCCGACCCCCAATAGCAGGCATGGGCTGCCATTGCGAACAGGTATTCATTAAAGGCCTCTACGGGTGACTCCTGTAACACATAATCAATACGACGGCCACTGTTGAGAGCGCCGGCACTCAGCGCCTCCTCGGCCGCGCCCCTGCCGTCCAGTTCGCCCGCATCCGGCATACCGTCGATCCCTCGACTCCCGTACGTGCCGTCAAACGCCTGTCCATCGGCCCCGTAGTCACCGGTAGGCGCGCCAACGCTGCCAACACTGGCGCCTACCGTCCGGTGCGCTTTGGCGAACTCGTTGATGGAATTCCACGTATACTTCAGGCTGTCGTAGATCTTGTTCTTGATGTCGGAGCCCATGCGCGCGATGCTGTCCCTCAGCTCCAGGTGCATGCGTTTGCGGCCCTTGTGGTGGGGTATGAGCACCGGCTTAATGTCCTTAAAGGCACGGTATATCATCGGCTCCAAGCGGTAGGCGATCGGGTCGTACGGGTGAAAGATGTTGTACACCGCGGGACAGGTGGGCAGCCGGTAGTCGGGCGACAGGTAGTGCACACCCCGTACGGTGAGAAACATGGGTAGGGGTGAGCCCATGGCGAAGAGCGCCGACGGTCTGAACGCTAGCGTCGGGTATTTGATGTCCGGAAAGCCGAGTCCTAAGGTCTGTTGGTGTCCGTAAGGGTGGCCAGTGGGTGAGGTGCACACACCCCTGTCCACGAGCGTTGGCACTGTGTCTGAGGGCACTACCGGTGCTGACACTGGCGTTGATGTCAGCGTTTCGGTGGATGTGCTCGCATTGGAAGAGTTGTGGTCCGTATTAGGCGTGACGTTGAGGTCCGCGTCCGAGGACTGGTGGGCCAGTATGTCGAACACGATTAGTGAGCCCAGACTGTGGCCGCCCAGGGCTACCGTTCCGCAAAAGTTCGGGTTTCTGTTGGGTTCGCAAATAGACATTAGATATAAAGCAAAATAAATAGGATTTCATTGAAAATGTATAGAATTACTGGTTATAATGAACTCATAATTATAGTGAACCTAACAGTGAGTCTATTAATAGTAGACTAAAAAACTAATTAAATATTTCTATCATTTAAATTAATTATTAAACTAAATATAAAACACGAATCCAATGGTAAACTCGTAACAAATATACAGTTTTAAAACCGAGAATATTGTACACTATAACCTGGTTATACACAATATCTTGCGTACATTATAACGGGAGTAGACTATAACGTGCACACACTATAGCGACAGGTAATTACAAAAAATAGTATATACTTTGAATACCCATTAAAACACTAAAAACAAAAAACTTAGTAATTAATCGTAAACTACAAACAAGTTTACAGTAGTTTCGCAAAACACGGAGTTCACTATAACCTGGAGTATACACTACACTATACACACGAACACAACACATACCGGTGACAAAACAACTCAAACAAACGGTTCAATTCCTGGCCCACGGAGTCGACAATCGTTTGACAGTAGACGGGACTCGTGTAGAACAGGGCGTCCAGAATGGTATCGTTGCTGAAGTGCCGGAGCTTCGGTATGCTGTCCAGCGTTATCTGCCGGAGCCGGTCGTCGATACCGGTCTCGTCGCCGTGTAGGGCCGAGTGCCACGATATGGGCAACAGCTCGATGCGACCCAACTGTCCCGACTCCATGTACGATCGGAAATGGGTGCGCATTAGCGATAGGCTTATGCACCGGAAGTCGTCCACCACTTCCACTATCGACCGAAACCTTGAGTTTTCAATAAAATACAGATTATAATAATGAATACAATTAGTATGTGTTATGTAAGGGCACTGGTAGCTGATTATGAGTCATAGGGACTGATAGCTACTGAAAAAGGTTGTGTACATTAACTTTGAACCGGTATTAAAAACTTTGTTTAAAACTAATCAGTGATTAAAACATACGATTTTTAAAAAAATACTGATTACATTAATGAGTTTAAACTATGCAATAGAGGAACGGTAGCTATTTGGACGGGTAGCTCACAGACACAAAACTCAAATCCACTGCATATTTTCAAAACCTTATGTATAAATGAATTAAACAATTAATCCACAATTAAATTCATATCTAAGCGCATAATTAAACAAAATAAATGCTCATAAAGGGAACGGTATGCCAAAAACCTCACCTAAAATCACATATCTCTCCGATTCCATGTATAAGGAACACGAGATGGTCGACCTGTACGGGCTCGCCCTCATCGATATCATCAGCCATGCCGTCCAGAGCGCCTACACCTCTGGCCACGAGTCTCGGCCGCTGCGGGTTCTCTAACGCCTGTCCCCACCCGTCGGGCATCGACTGATCCAATTGGTAGTGATATATAGACTCCCGGGTGTGCATCACCACCACCTCCTGTCCCCCATCCAACTCCACCCTCGTATTCCACGTATTAGTCATCACTGACTGCCTATACCCGGCCTCCAGGCGCTCGGAGACCTCCTCGCCGTACGGCACCCATCGGTTATGGCCCTCCTTTCGGTAAAACCAGGAACAGCGCCGGCATATAGTGTCCGACTCTTGCCAATAGACGGGTCGTCGCACCCGTTCCCCGACAGACACGTCGAAGCGGCCGCCGTCCGTAGGTATGACCACTCCGTAGCCATAGGTCGGTGCCGTCAGCACCGACTGCTCCAAGTTGTACGTGTCGTACAGCGAGAACGGCCGCCAAACCTCCTTATTCTCGATCACCCGCTGATAGAACCAGTGGTAGACTACCGGCGCGTAGGGCTGGTAGGGTTGGTACGGTTGCTGAGCACCGGTAGTGTCTGCGGGAGAGGCGGTGGGCGACTGCTGTTGCGTCGACTGCCAGTCCGGTCCGTAGGTGTTGTCCAGTGTTTGCGTAGGACTGACGTACGAGTACTGACTGGCGGTGTCGGGGAGTGTAGGTGCGCTCGTGGTCGGCCCACTGGAAGGGCTTAAGGCGTCGAACGGAGCGGAACTGTATGCCGGAGGTTGGCTGAGATCCAGGGGCTGGCCTTCCGGCGCTCCGGGAGTGTAGTAATCGCTCGGATTATAGAGATTATCGACGGGTAATGGTTGAGTGTAGGGATCGGGTATGAGTGGAGTATCTCCCGATGCTATCGGCACTGGCGGTAATGGAGGCGCTGGTAGTGTAGAGGCGGCAGCACTGGTAGCTGTGGTGATGGTTGCGCCGTGGTTTGGGTCGTATAGTCTTAGCGGACCTACAAATACGTTGAAAAATAGACACAAAAAAAATAAATATAATTTTAAATACAATAAAACTTCGATATAATAAACACTAACACCGGATAAGTCTGTACACTATTCACACCTAAAAGTCTGTACACTATTCATACCATAAGTATTACAAAACACTAAAAACCTCTTAATTTAAAGTCTTTGGAGACCAACGCCTGAGCGGGTAATACAGGCGGTGCTACCGGTGCTGACACTGGAATCGCGGGAACAGTAGGTCCAACACTAGTCATCATCGGTGGCGATACGGCCGGTGCGCCACTCAATTGAGGCTCAAAATGCGATACAACCCCTCCTACTGGCGCGCTACCTGTGCCCACACTATCATCGCTTGGGATACCAGCCCCGAGAGCGCCGGTAGTCGTACTGACGATCACTTGCGACGTCCTCTGGAACAGCGTCTCAATGAACGACATCTTCTGGTGCTTACTATTGAGAGCGCCGGCCGAGGACAGGGAGCTCACCGTCGACTGATGGGACTGTTCGCCACTATTAGCGCCGGTATTATTATCATCCGACGGCAGACACGGCTGTCCATCGACTAAACTAATCGTCTGAAAGCTCTCGTCCAGCGCCTGTCCGCTAATACTAGACCTCCGGCTACTGCCAGCCGTACCTCCGGGTGCTCCACGCCGTAGCGATTGTATGATCTCCTCGTGGGTCATGTCGTGGCGAATGGACGACTGGTCGGAAGGGGTGGGCGATAGGGCGGGCTGTGGTGGCGGCTCCAGCGGCGGGGCCACTATGAGAGCGCCGGTAGTCGGCGTCCACGAGAGGTTGGCCGTCGATAATAGCAGTGAGGACTGGGAGGCGGACGGTGTGAGCGATGATTTCGGGTGCGAAGACATGACTGACTATCACTTGAGTTGATCCGCGAGTCTTATGGCTGTATATAATAGGGAAGGCTTTTCGCACGTGAAGTGGTTTTTCGCCGTCAATACACACACGGGTTAACACATGTTGTGGTAAAT